ATCATTTTCAAAGCATTCTCTTCCCACTTGAGCCCCTGATATCAGCTCCCCATTTCCTCCCCCTCCCTCCTCCAGAATGTTTATTTTTTACAAGTCTAATATGCCTAATTTGTTTTTCTTTGCTTGGGTCCTAGTGTGATGTATAAGAATGCTTTGCCTTATCCAGGGTTATGAAGATTTCTTTTATGCTTTCTTCTAAAAGTTTTATAGTTTTCTTTAAAAAGTCTTATTATTTTATAGCTCTTACATTTAGGTCAATATTCCACTTGAATTATTATTTGTGTATGGTGAAAGGAGGAGGCCCAATTTCATTCTTTTCTATAGGGATATCCAGTTATTCTATACCATTTGTTGAAAGGATATTCCTTCTCTAATGAATTATGTTGGCCCCGTTGTTGAAATCAATTAATCATAAGTGCAAGGGTTTAGCTCTGGACTCTCAACTCAGTTTTGGAAACAGGAAATGTGGGTCCTCCAACTTTGTTCTTTGAATGTCCTTTGAGCATTTTGCTATACATTTAGCTTATAGGGCAACAAGATTATTAAGTTTATAAAAGAACATCAGTATATAATAAAGTAAAATTTCTGAATTATAGAAAGTATGTTCTTAGAGTTAAGACGAAATGCTTAGTTTTTAATGTATATTTCCTAGCTGCAATTTTCTGCATTATTTTGTGCTAGTTAAATCCATTTTTGATACTGAAACAGATATATATTATGAACAATTGTGACATAATGGTTGCTCCCAAGTTGGTTAGAATTGAAATAATTTGTTGTATTTCTATTTTTGTTTGTTTTATCTTGTGTTCCCGTTTAGGTAGGAGGGGAGTTTTCAAATGTTGTTATCCCCCAAATGAAGAAATTTGGAAGAATTGCTATATGTGGGGCCATCTCCACCTATAACAGTACTCGTCCGCTTCCCCCAGGTAATGAGCTCAGGTGCACGATCACAGTGTATGTAGGGCAATGACTATCAAAACACTAGAAAGATTAAAATTATGCAAGAGGACTTTAAAAAGTTCATGGAAAAATGTCATCTTTCAATCCCATTTTTCTTTTTGACATTTTTTGACTTTTCAAAGTCCCTGTATACATTTATAGGACATATTTCTAAGACCTCAATGAACTATGTCACTGCCTATAAAAATTTCAAATTGCTATTGATTTGCTAAGTACATGTGGAACTACTCCTGATATTTTTGATGAAATGTGATGGAATAATATTAAAAATATATAATTTTGCATTTTTTATGTTACATCACTTTAAGATAAATAACAGTATCCAAAAATCTAAAAGAAAAAATTCTTTAGAGTTTTCGCTTTTTGCATATTGGTTTCTGGAAATTTACAGATAGATGTAAAAACGGCTGGTGACTATCCAGGATATTGGTGGAGGCGGGGGTGGGGGGGGCAGGGAGGGAGGAAAGAACAGGCGGGTCCCATAGCCTTAGTCCGGAGGCTTGTGCTTCCCAGAGCAGCAGAATAACTTGGCCTCACCTAGCCGGTGGCTGCCACCGCGAGAGGGGGCCCTTCCTTCCCCTGTATTCTTTCATTGCCTTCTGCTGGCTTCTTCTCTCGGTGGGCATTTGGCTCTCCTCTGCCTCCAATGGCAGGGGCCCTGGTAGTGTAGCGGTTACATGTTGGGCTGCTACCCGCAAGGTCAACAATTCAAAACCACCATCCACTCCGAGGGAGCAAGAGGAGGCTTTCAGTCTCGGAAACCCACCGGGCAGTTCTGCCCTTCCTTAGGGGCACTATAGTCAGAGTCAACAAGGTAGCCGTGATGCCCTCAGTTCCTTCTACCCCTCCCTTCCCCTGGCTCCTTCCCTCCCGCACAGACACAGAGGCCAAAGGCTAGAAAAAGACATCCATGAAGTCTGTGTTGTACAGACTGCTCATTTGTTTCAGAAAGGGAGTTTAAAAATGGCTCGAAAGGATCAGAGACTTCAAATCCTATTGAGGACAGACTCAAAACAGAAATCTGATACAGAATCTTTTTCTGCTACAAAAAAACTGTGCTATGAGTGAGAGTACAGATTTGTCTGTGGCCCCAAATGAAAAATTAAAAACAGCAATAACACTTTAGTCTATAATCAGGATCGAGACAATGATAAGTGAATTGAGTATTTACTCTATTGTGGAAGGGAACCTAACAGCCCTGCTAGTTACTGCCACCACCGGTTCACTGAGACAGGAGCCAAGGGACTACAATGGAAAAGGTGAAGGAAAGGCTCCTGGTAGATGCCCTCTTGGGTTGTGAGAAATCAAAGACCCACCTTTTTCAACAGGAAAACTCCAGTTCTACTTGGCTGTCCTATTGTTAGGGACTCCCCCCTCTATTTTTCTAACTGATGCTAAGCTGGAATCATGTCTGCTTGCCAACTGAGCAAAACTCCGTGAAGCATTTTCTTAACCACAGTCCAATCTGATACAGCCAGCTATTAAGAAACAGTACCTCGATCTGATCATGGGTAGCAATTAGTCTTTGGGAATACAGCTTCTCAGACAGGTCTTTGATAGACCACCTGGCCTTATCCATTTTAATCTTAGGGGATTCTGCCTCGGATCTCCAGAAATTCTAACGTATTTCAGTGTTGGGATAGCTTAGAGACAGGTAATTATGGGACCCAACTTTAATCCACATTCGCCTTTTCGTAACCAGTAAACAACATTCCTAACAGGATGGGAAAGTTCAGAAACAGTATTTCACCCTCGTCCAAGATGAGGAAATGAGGATTTCCAATCCTTAACTCATAAAAAAAGTGCTTGAGGTGGGTCTACACTCAAGCAATACTAAGGTGACCAGACGTCCTGCTTTTGGTGGGACAGTCCCGATTTTTAACAATTTTTCTCGCACCCCGCGGCATTTT